TCACCCTCCCTGGGGATATGGGGTGGGATGGGGGGGATTGGTGGAGGACATGGGAGGATGGGAGGGAGAGGGAACTGTGATTGATATGCAAAATAGGATTTATTCTGATTTAAATAAAATTTATTTTAAAAAATGGATGCTGTGCTCACTAACGTGCATTTTCCACTTGTGGTAAACTTCCCGAGCTCTTGGCGGCTTCTGACTTCTTTTCTGTTTGGGTGTTTCATGTTAGAGAAGCCACACAATTGTGACGCTCTGTGACTGGGTTCCTCTGCTTACACAATCTCTTCAAAGTCAGCCATGATGTGCATGTTCCAGTACTGCATTTTTGGGGGGAGGGGGGGTGGTTTCAAGACAGGGTTTCTCTGTGTGGCCTTAGCTGTCCTGGAACAAGCTCTTCTAGATCAGGCTGGGCTCTTAACTCAGAGACCCGCCTGCCTCTGCGTCCCAAGTGCTGGGATTAAAGGCGTGCGCCACGACCGTCGGCTCTGGTACTTCATTTTTTTACTGCTGATAAATGAGCCGTATTTTACTTATCCGTCTACATTGTGCTGTTCCTCCTGCTACTGCAAACCTGCTGCTGTGAACGCTTGTGCGTGAGTTTCTGCGTTTGAGGTTTCCGCGTGTCTCGGGTCCATTCCTCAGAGTGGGGTTCCTTGGGCTCATGGAAACTTTAGCGTGCTGGGGGGGCTCCCTGCTGCTTTCAGCGTGCACTCTACTGGATGCCAGCGGTGACTTCTCTCATCGGCTTCTCCCTTGCACCTTGGGCAGTTGGTTTCCCATGGCCCTTTGCTTCCCCATCTGTAACTTAACTGTGGAGGCGCCAACGTATTAAGGACCTGGAAAAGTCTGCGCTGGGTCCATCCTCCAGTTTTGTCGTTGATAAGTGCCTGTTACATTTTAAAAAGTTACTGAAAAAGTGCAAAGCTGTAATCAAACCTGGATCTGGTGGATGGCAGGGTTCTATCACTTCTTTCTGCCCCTATTTAATTTCTAGAAATGAGAAAAGCTAGACTTGCCATCCTTCAACTAAGTGGGCTGGGAAGGGAACAGCGTCTGCCGGCACCGTCTGCAAGACATGTGGGTTCGTGTTGGGGGAGGGGGAGCGTTTCTTCTATTTACCTGATAGTGTTTAATCCTGAGAGCCTCATGAGGTCATACCATGATCATTCCATCCTACAAGTAGAGAATAGGGACACCAAGACATGGAATAAGTTGCTAGGGTTCCATGGGCGGTGAAAAGGGGGACTGGGATTTATTTGGGCCATGTGGTTTGGCTTTAAAGGCCTGCCCTCAAGATAGGGTGGGCAGCCTTGCTGTGTCGTAAGCAGTGGGCCAGCTGTGGCACGGCCTTTCCCTGGAAGTGTCTTCAGTTAGAGGCGTCCTGCTCGGTACGCTCCCACAGTAAGGCTCTGGGCATCGGCACCCACAGGAAGGAAAAGCATGAAGGCTGGGAGGAGCCGAGGCTGGCTGGCATGTAGGGTAGTCACTGTCTCTTCTGGCTCCTTCCCAGCGGACTCTGCCGGGTCACTGGGTCTTCTGATTAGTTTCTTTCCTCTGCCGGTTGCCCCGGTTGACTTACAGGAGAGCTGATGGCTGCGAAGGGCCTGGGGGCGTTGACTCGGATGGATCTCTGTCCTCTGCAGCTTGTTTCACTTCAGTAAGAAGTGGGAATTTATTGTTTTTCCTCAATTAGGGCAAGAGCTGGCTTTTGCCACAAATCCCAATTTTTTTTTTTCTGACTCTTTGCTAGCCCGCCTTAGCAGACATCTGAAAAGGGGGATTTTTGAAGTCTCTGATGGAAGTTGAAGGAGAGGGCTGGTTGTGTGGGATGGGCAAGCAGGAGCTGACTGCGGCCTTCAGCGGGAGCAGGTCTGCAAAGCAGGCAGGGGAGCCTGGGGATTCTGTTCCCCTTTTGCAGGCAGGGGGTCATTTTTCCTTGGCTCTTTAGGGAGATAGGTGTGGGGTGAAAACGCCAACGAGCAGAGACTTGGGTCCGACTTTACATGTTATTTTGTACCTCTTGATGAAAGCGTGATTTAAAACACCGTATCCATACCCTCCAAAGGCTCCGGATGGAGTGCTCAGAGAGAGTGTTCTCTGCTACACTGATTTTCTTTTAATCCCAGGATGACCAACGCACTATAGCAAAGAAGACATTAGCACGAGGGACATTTTTTGTTTGTTTGTTTTATTTCACTTTGTTCCAGTCTGTCAGCAGTGTTCTCCAGGCAGCAAACAAGAATCTTCATTTGCCTGGTTTGCTTTTAATTTATAGCCCCAAATTGTACCCACGCAAAGCTTCAGGCAACTTATAGTCCGTGACGGGTATATAATAAGTCTGTTAAAAGTGCGAAATGGAAAGCACAGCAGGGACCTACACCGCCAACATGCCAGGCCACTTCTCCCCAGGGAGTTTGTTGCCTTGAGTGAGGATTAAACACAGCAGTGTCCCTTCTAGGCGGCCAAGGCAAAAAGGTCACAACTCTTTGGAGCCATGACCCACTCAGAGGGGGCAGCCCTTCTGAAGTCATAAAACCTTTATTAGTTTGGGGATTTTGAGGAATTTTGCTAGGAAGGAATTAGAAGTCTTTAGGGAAGAGCCTCGCCCTTCATCGCAGATGCTGCGTAGGGAGATAAGGGCCGCTTAGGAGCCTGGCCTGGCCACAGAGAGGGACTTTCAGCACTCCAGGCCACCCCAGCCTCAGGACCCTCATCTCTTACCATATATACTGTGTATATTCCTTTTAGAATGTACGTCATCCCTGAACATGTGGACTAAGTACGTTTGAGCTTTAACGCTGCTGTGGGAGCTTCCTGGGACACCTGGGTTTTACCTGATAGGTGATCGATTTGTGTTGCTGGTTGTTACAGCTCCGCCTTGGAAGGCGGCAGTGTGACAAAGAGGATCAGAGTGTTAGTTTAAGTCCTTTAGCTTGTTCTCTGAGCATTCCTTCTTGGGGGGTTTACACCTTGCCCGAGCCAGGCACAGTCTTTGTTGCGTATACCTGTAGGCGCAAGGCTTTCCGTCATGGTGATATTAATGACTGAAGAAGTCCCTAACAGCCCAGCGCCACCCAAGGCCTCCATCTCTCCTAAGGACGTTTTAATGAGAGTGCTGCCATGTGCTTGGTGCCCTTCCCACAGCGTGTCCCGTTTACCAGAAGAGATTAGAGTATGAATGAGCGGACTGGGTAGCCAGGAACACTAGGTGCGGGCCTGTACAAAAGTTACCATGGGAACCAGCGGTCTTTGTATCTACTTTCTCATGAAGGAGTTTCGGGTGACCAGTACTTTGAAATCTTACTTGTTAAGTAAAAAACCTAACGGCATTAAGTTTCGAGGGCTTTAAAAAATATTGTTATAGGGTCCCGAGTGTATTCCTTTTAGAATGTAAGTCATCCCTGAACATGAGGACTAAGTACATTTGAGCTTTAACACTGCTGTGGGAGCTTCCTGGGACACCAGGGATTTACAGTCTACACCTCTCCTCTTCCAGCCTTGGGAAAAACACCTTTCTGCGGACTTTGCAGTGGGGAGGGGACATTGTGAACTGAACTAGACTGTATGGACTTGAATTTAAATCCGAGCTTTGAGCTGTACGCTGTAATGGATAAGAGGCCCTTCGGTCTGCCTGCCTTCTACCTCAGTAAGCCTCTTCTCTTTTCTGCCTACAGGGGAGCCTGATAAAGATACCTAATATGGACCTCTGTGATGTTTTCATACACATTCAGACACATCCTAAAGGTTTTAACAAAATTATCAGAATTCCTGGGGGGGGGAGATGGCTTGGCAGTTAAAAGCTCTTGCTGTTTTTCCAGGGGTCCCTCGTTGGACCCCCCAGAACCCACACTAGGGGAGCTCACAACCACTGTGACTCCAGCTCCGGGGACTCTAACACTCTCCTCTGCCCACTGTGGGCACCTGCGTGCATGTGACATACCCTCGTGTGTGTGTGTGTGTGTGTGTGTGTGTGTGTGTGTGTGTGTGTGTGTGTGTACTAAAATGAATCTCCAACAAAAATTAGCCTAGCGATTTTAAAGGAGCCAGCAGTAGCTATTAAAATGGAAAAGCTGAGCTGGCAAATGACTCAGTCCCCTAACATGAGGACCCGAGTTCAGGTACCTAGCTCTTACGTGAACAGGCTCAGAATGGTAGTAACGGTAGTGGTAGTGTGCACCCGTAATCCCAGAGCTGAGAGGCGGATTTGCAGGCTAGCCAGTGAAGCCAGTGGGTGAGCTCCAGGTTCAGTGAGAGATGCTGTCTCAAATACAGCGGAGAACTGTAGAGCCACCCAATACAAACCTTTGTGGGTGAATTCACAAAGTGTATTATGCACATGCAACGCATGCCTTACCATACATACATCCATAGAATAATTAAAATGGGAATGCACGTTATGGGAAGTTTTTCTTTCGAGAACTTTTTTCCTGTTCTACATCACTTTAAGTTTCAGCTTTGTTGTTTTATTACCAGTCCAGATCCAGAGTAAAAGGCTGAAATAGAATGTAAGAACTCTCTCTCTCTCTCTGTCTCTCTTTCTCTCTCTGTGTCTCTGTCTCTGTCTCTCTCTAGCACTGGGTGGGGAAGGGTGAGTGTGTCTGTCTGTCTGCCTGCCTGCCTCTCTACGGAGGGGAAACCTCTTTGGAATTCTTCCAGATGAGAATATAAGACAACCCCATTGAGATATGGCAACCCTATATTTTTGTAGAAAAAAAAAACATTACTGTCTCAGCCTTAGTCTGGTGATGGATATGATGTCTGTCCTTGATTTGGAGTGACTGATAATGGCTGCCTAGAGTACAGATTGTATACGCAGGCGGAGTCCCCCAGTCCCTTAATGATGACTGTTGTAGGTTGGTGGTGGCTGTTTCTTGCCATGTTTGCTGTCCTCAATCTTGTGTGTCAAAACAAATTGATAACTTATCGTTGGAACCAAGATAACCATATATGCCCATGAATATTAAAAAATACACACACACACACAGGTGTGGAAACATTTCTGTTTAGAGAAAGTATTTTATTTACGTAACAGCGACTTGGGGTGTGTGGAACCTGTCTGTCTGGTGCGTTCTGTGCTTTTTAATCCCGACTGACTGTGGTCCTTTCTGGTGAGCCACTGTCACCAGATGAAAGCGCCAGGCTGCTGAGGTTGACAGGCAGCTGAGGGACGGGAAGACCTCCAGGAGCAACCTGGCTTTGCTTTAGGCAGATGGATGCCACAGAAGGAGAAGTCCTTTAACGGATGCCATTCCAAGGACACGTGGCGGTGCCGATGATCTCCAGGGCTCTGCTCGCTGCCCCTTCCAGAGCTGGGCTGCTCAGCCTTGCTGGCACTGCCGAGGAAGGGCTGGTCGGGGCGGGTTATCCAGACAGTGCTGCTGGGCTTCGCTGTGTCTGGGTTTGGCATGACTGAAAGCTTGTGCTGGGCGTCTTGTTTCTTTGGTCGCGGGCAGAACTACATCTACTTTGCACCTTTAGTGGTAGCCACAGCTACATCCAGGGTTGTTCTGGAAGCCCAGCGTGCCACGGTCAATGAATGTGTGTGCTGACTTGATTTACTAGTAAGGAAAAAAAAATGAGAAAGAGAGCTTTCTGTTTTTGCTTGGCAGGTTCTTGGTAAAATAAGAAGAAAAAAACGAGTAAATTTCTCGTAATAATGTGTAATTTGGAGCAATAACTCGTATTTGCTCTCCACTTACATGCTGATTGAACACCGTCTCCAAGGTTCATGTACCTAACTGCAGGTCTTGTGTATGCAACAGGGAACGCAAAAAAGCAACACCTCCCCCTCTCTGGCTTGAGTCCTACAGAAGTAAATAGAAATGATTAAATGTTTAGCTGTGGCTGCCGTGGGGGGTGTGGAGGGAAGGATCGTTAGAGACCATCAGGTTGAGTCACAAAAGAAGGAGCATACCCAGCCCAGCTGAGTTGGAGAAGGCTTCCTATAGCATATGGAGTGTGGTGTGAGACATGAGTTAGGGGCTCCCTGGGCAAAGGGAAGGGATAAGGAGAGGGAAAGAATGGTTCCTGGGTAATTTCCACAGGACGCTGGGCCAGCGCTCATGGTTTCTGGTCCGGGAGTAGCTCCCATTGTTGGCTGCAACCCTCTCCCGGAGGAGGCCAAGCCTAGTTAGCGCGGTGCTGTCCTCACTCACTGCCACATAAGCTTAGTCTCCTGGAAAGGTCTTTGCAGTCTTCGATTGCGCAACACCCTTGGTCAGCGGCTGTCCTTGCAGAGTAATAATTCTTTTCAGCTCCAGCTGCTGCTCTTCTTCCTGGGAAGTTGTGTGTTGAGGGCTGGCCAGAGCTGTCAGGTGGGCAAGATGAGCCCGCCTCACAGGAGAGCAGAGGCAGCGGGCCACCGGTGTGACCACAGTCTGTGGATGCAGAAAGCAGTGTCTCTGGGTTCAAACTCAAGCTCGAGGTGCTTAGAGCTTTTACTCCAGCTCTTCTAGCCTCGGTTTTCTTATCTTTAAAATGGGCACGGTAGAGCTGCCTCATGAAGCAAGCCTGAGGGCTGAGTGGCATTGGGACTGCCTGTGGGTATAGGTATTTTAGAACACAGTAAGGAATTATATTGGTTTAGGAAAACGGCAGTAGTAGGTTTCCATCTTAGATCTGTGACCTCTTCCGCCATGGGTAGCTGGCTAGGTTTACCGTGCCCGGCATGGACCCCCCCCCCCTCCTGAGCAGGCCTGAAGTCCAGTGTGCAGGTGCCGGTGTTCCAGAGCCGAGTCTTCTCACCAACCACCTGGATCCCGTTGCCGCTTTAGTCCCCAAATAACACACGGGACGCTGTATTAATTATGATACTGTTGGCTGTTTGCTTGGTTTCTTATCGGCTAGCTCTGACTTAACTATTAACCTGTAACTGCTAATCTGAGTATTTCCGTGTGGTCTTCTCTTACTCCTCTGGTGTCCTGCATGGTGACTGACCGTGCCTCTGTTTTCCCAGAATCCTCCTCGACTCCTAGTCCCACCCATCTTGCTTCCCTACTTGCCAACAGTGCTTTATTAACATATACACGGAAGGACTTCCCCCCATCGGCTTACACAGGACCTTCAAATCCTCTGAGACCTAGTCCCCTTTAAGATGGCTTCCTGATCAGTCCCAGCCTGATTCCTTCAAGTTCTGCGTCCAGTGTGTGTGGCATCGGCAGCAGCAGGTCTTAACTGGAAGTTCTGGAAGGCAACCAGCGGTAGTGACTGTAGTCCATGTTGCTTTTGCGGGAGAGCGTGTAATCCTCCAACCAAAATGGGTGGAAAGGCAGGGAGGTTTCTCATACTTGGCGCTGGGGTTTTTCTTCAGTGGTTCACGACTCTCACTCCATGTGGCGTAGCTCCATTAAAACACACAGTGGCGCGCACGTGTGTGTGCATACACACACACACACACACTTTTAAAATGAAGCTTATAAAATAATATGTAGCCCTATGACTCTTTCAGACATCCTTGCTGTTCATCTCCTATTCCTTGTATTACCTTTTCCTCTTCCTCCCAAATTAAAGCTCTCTGTTTTCATGTTAAGTTTTCACGTTCATAGGGCCTGCTTCCTACCCTCCCTCTTTCTAGAGCTTTTTCTCTCTTCACCATATTCCTCCTCAATCCCTGCCAAGTCCCCTTCTGTTTTCCTGAATGACTTCTCTGGATATTTCAGTTTATATACTCTCTCTCTCTTTCTATATATGTGTGTGTGTGTGTGTGTGTGTGTGCGCGCGTGCGTGTGTGCATGCATGTATGTATATATGTATGTATGTTGAGCTAGGATGATATTTTGAGCTAGGATCCTAGCTCAAAAGAAGACATAAGGCATTTGTCTTTCTGGGTTTGGGTTACCTCACTCGGCATAGTAATTTTCAGTTCCACCCATTCACCCACAAAGTTCGTGATTTCGTTCAGAAATGGATTGGTCCATAAAGGGCTGCGAGCCGTTGCTACATCACATCGTAGTTCTATTCACCTCCTCGACAACGGCAAAGGGCACAGGCGCCGTACACCCAGGAAACAGCTACTTTACCCTTGAGTTTGTTTCCTCCTCAGAGACATGGTTCCGTATGTAAGAGCACAATCCGCGAAAGACCGACGGCTGTCTGGCTCCTGTGGTTCTGGGAAAAGCCGAGAAATGGGTTCTGGGAAATGCTGAGGGAGGGCTGGGTTACGCGCCGGGAGTATGTTTTACACCAGACTTTCTTCGCACAGATTCTTTAGTTGAGTCCTTGGAAACCCCTACCCACTGAGTCTGAGCTGGCGTGGGCGAGGGGGGGGGCGCTCTTTGCCGGTCTGCCTGTTGGCCCTGTTGGCCGAGGCACTTGCCTGAAAAGGCTGCCGTCTTTGGACGTCCTGGAGGGATCTGGCAGGATGAAGTACTCCGTGATGTCATACTGCCATGTGGGCAGGCGAGCTAGGGTTTCTGGCTAGGGAGGTGTTTGGAGGAGACCCCTTTGAACCCCCCCCCCACATGACTTTCCTGATGTAGACCGCCAGTGCCGTTGGTGCTGGCGGTAAGGGTGGCGGTTCTGCAGCTTGGTTCACTGTAGAACAGTCTGGCTGGCGGTGCTTGTAAGGAGGGGAGAATGCAGTATTGTTGCAGAGGGAAGGAACTTCATAGGGCCAAGCTCCAACTTTCCATTCCGGAGCTGCCTGCCAGATTGCTTCTTAAACTTGGTCCGGGTTCGTTCGGAACCTGGGTGCCTTCCTTCCCTGCAGCTCCTTGCTTGATTGGAAGCACCAGCCCTCTTGTCCACTGAGACGCCAGCGCCTCCTTCAGAAATAGACTGGTCTCCTTGCAGCTTCATTAGCAGAGTATGCAAGTTTTTTTCCAAATAACAGATGGACCTTTTAATGTTGAAAGCTATAAGTCATGTTCTTGTTACGCTAATGCCGAAATAAAGGGTGTAGAGCTTGGTTTATATTGCATTTCTGAAGTAAGCCGCATGAGTCTCCTGTTTCTCATCCTGTATTTTGGCAAACTTTTTCAAGTAATGAAGGAAGTTTTCCTTTTCCTCAGGGGAGGTAAAGTTTATTGGGTTTTGTTTTTGTTTGTTTGTTTGCTTGGTAGTTGCATTTTTTAGCTTGTGAACCGTTGCAGAAGGCAAGAAGCTACAGAGGATATCCACCTGCTAGATACGCGTATCCATGGATTTACATGGTGACTGCTTACGGTAGCTTCCTTTATCAGTTTTCCCCGAATATTTTCTTAAGAAAGTTGGATTCAAATAAATTATACATATTTGCATTTATATGAAATCGGTTAAAAATGAACTGGGCCCTAACCCTTCTGTGCCTAGAATTCCAGTGTCTCTGGTTTCTCGCAGATGTGTGTTTTCAGCTGTCCCTTAGACATCACCCAGGCGGAATGAACAGCTTCCTCGCTGCTACTCCTTCTTCCTTAAAGCCCCCGTCTCCTCCATTCAGGGTTCAATGAGCCACCTGTTCTGCATATGGGAACCCTCTCTCAGAAACCCTAGCATCTCCCTGGAGTTTCTCAGTTCTGTCCATTTTTACCTCCAAATTGTTGCCCAGTCTGAGTCCCGTCTCTGGACTGTCTCGAGTCCACCTTCCCGGCATGCTGGCCCTCTGTGTGGTCACTTCTCTCTGTCCCACTTCTGCCTGTGACGGACGGTTTACCGGCTGCATTCTCTGGTACTTCTTGGGGTTCACACACAGCCCAACCTCTGCAGAGCAGCTCTCATCTGCCCCGCAGGCTTCTCTGCCGGCCTCTTTATTCTGTGGGCTTGCGTTTCAGCCCGGAACACCGTCCCCACTTCCTGCAGGAGCGGCTGTAGCCACACGGCTCTTCCCCCGCTCTCCTTCCACCATTCGGTCTTATTTTTCCGGGATAACCGACCAGCTCACGGTGTCCTCACTTGTACTTACCCTGTAGTTAGTCAGCCTCGTCTTTGGAGTTCTCACTGGGTCTCCTCCTTAACACTGCCTCTGTCCTGCTTGGCTACAAAGCCAGGGTGAAAGGTTCAGGCATTGCGCTGGCCTGCCCTGTTACCTGGCAGGATGCACTCAGGCAGCACTCTGGCCAGCCCAGAGCTCTGTGAGATTCATGCAGGTGCAAAGGACCCCTTTAAAGGACTGACCCCTGCCTGCTTATGCTCTCTCTTATTCTCTTTTTTACTCTCGTCTTCCTTTCCATCTCATCTTCTCTCTTACTCTCATCATCTCATCCTCTCTCTCTCTCTCTCTCTCTCTCTCTCTCTCTCTCTCTCTCTCTCTCTCTCTCTCTCTCTCTCTCTCTCTCTCTCTCTCTCTCTCTCTCTCCCCACCCCCACCCCCACCCCCACCCCCTTTCCCTCCCTGTCTACCAATAAAACTCCACGTAGGACCGTTGACTCACGGTTTGCGTCTCCTTACTGGGTAAACCCAGACATTTCAACAACATTGGCTCCCTGACCGGGAACCTAGACATTTTAACAACACAGGGGGTTCCTTCAAGCCTCCTCCATTTCCTGGGGCCTGGCGTGGTAGAGCAGCCCACAGAACGCTGGAAGGCAGGAAGGTGTTTTTTTCTTATTACCACCAGCTCATTTAGAAGAACTTCGGGGAGGAGCAGATGGGGGGCTACTCAGTGTAGGAGATGGTGCAGGTGACACAGAGCCTCCATTACCCTCTCCTGGCCTGTCACTCACCCTGCACTGCAGTGCGCCTGATCCTCTCAGAAGCCCGGGAGCCTGCTGTTGAAGGGTCTTTGTACAAGGCGTTACTGGGTAGACGTTCTAGGCCACAGGCACTTGGCGAATTAACCCGAAGTTCAGCTTCCTTCCTTTCTTGGAGGTCAGGGGAGAGAGAGCCTGAGACTTCCAACTTTGTAAAGGTGGATTGGTTTTTCTGGTTGTCGGCCTACATCCTACATCCTAAACCTACCCTAGGCTTCCACAACCTCTTAAGTGCCTCTGGGTTCTTAAGAGCTGTGTTAAAAAAAAAAAAAAAAAAAAAAAAACGAGAAATGAAAACCAAGTTTTTATTTCTTCTTATTATGCTACACCTCTGCTTTTTTTAAAAATAATCACCCCCATGTTTCCCGTCAGCCACTACTGTGAGTGTCCAGAGGGGAAAGATTGTTTTTTTTTTTTTTTCTTCTTCTCAGCTTTCATTCAGTGAGTTAATTTTCCCTGGCATCTAACCCAGATTCTTTTATACTGGTTCTTGATAGTTACTTGCTCATGTCCTGGTGTGTGCACTCTTACTGTTGAATTCCAGTCTCCCAGTTTATACCCACAAAGATCTCTGAAAGCAGGGATTCAAACAGATAGTTATATGAGACTATTCAGTCATGGTAGCCAAAAGAACCACCAACAATGATTTACAGCCAGTGGTTATTCCCTCGTGGTGTAATGACTAAATCAGGCAACGCTAAATGACTGTTCCATCTGTCTCAGATGCAAGACCTGATTACTCTGAATTGCCGCCTAATTAAGTTGTGAGCAGATTAAGCACTGTGCGTGTGAACGTATTTAGAGTAACATTTTTATTTTGCAAGGGCACGTGAGACCGGGCCCTTTTCACATTCATTTTGTCAGCGTTCACTTTGGGTGCCTTGCTTGGATGTGTTTCCTTCTCTTGTCTGCTTTGGGAACGGGGCCTCACTGTGTTTCAGAGGCTGGCCTAGAACCTGCTGCTTGCCCTCTTGATTCTCTTGCCTCTGCCTGCCCGATGCTGGAATTACAAACGGAGCATTACCCCGCTTCTCCTGCAAGTGGCAAGACGATCGATCTGTAAGCATGGCCCGCCCTCCTGCATCAGGGAGAGCTCCTGAGACAGAGGAAAGCCTGTTTATTTTTAAGATGCTCCCCCAAGGATATCCAGGATCTCCAGTGTTCTAAGATCAAGATTTAGCCGGGCGGTGGTGGCACACGCCTTTAATCCCAGCACTCGGGAGGCAGAGGCAGGTGGATCTCTGTGGATTCGAGGCCAGCCTAGTCTACAGAGTTAGTTCCAGGACAGCCTCCAAAACAATACAGAGAAACCCTGTCTCGAACAACCAAAAGAGAAAAAAAAGATCAAGACTTAAAGCAGCGACGCGTGTAATGGATTTAAGTTCAGACAAAATTTCCATTTTTGCTTTTTCTCTGTAGGGGGATTGATTAATTTTTAAAAATCTCCTCAAATACGGTGTAGTGTTGTTGTTTTCAAACCCTACACGGGGGATGACTGTTGTTTCTTGAAGCTGAAAGAAGTATAAATGATTCCCCCCCCTTTTTTTTTCAGATTCTTTACAGAGTTAGAGGCGAGACATCAGAGTAACATCCTCATCGACGACATCAGTGACATTGTAGAAAAGCACACGGCGTCCACGTTTGATCCCTATGTGAAGTACTGCACCAACGAGGTCTACCAGCAGAGAACGCTGCAGAAGTTGCTGTGAGCAGGGTGGATTGGCTGGGGTTTGAATGTCTAGCCTACTTCTGGTTAGAGCTCACTTGGTAGAGATTAACTAATCACGGACAAAGACATGCCTCCTAGTTGACGGTTTTCTCCTTGAGGGATGTGTAAGGGGGGTTACTTTTTGAGTGAGGGTGCTGAGGAGTGTGGAGAACTTTCTCCCCAACGCAGTTTGAAATTAAAGTGTGCTGGCGTCATCATCCCCCCAACCCCTTACCCCTTACACACCCTTTCGTTGGCCAGAGGCTTGACCCATCATCATCCAACCTCCCACTTTCCTAAGCAAGTAACTATTAAGTGGTTTGCCAGAGGGCAAGAGGCTGTTCTTAAGTGGACCAGGAGACACTAGGATCCAGGGTTTCCCTTACTAGTCTAACCCCTGTGCGCTGTTCTCGTGGATTGCAGGGTCTGCCTCCCCCTCCCTGGGTAGATCGGTTGAGTTGCTGTGGTTTAAAAGAGCAGGGGGAAAAAACAGCTTGGAGATTTTAATTATGCCACCGTAAGGAGCCAAGCACTCTTGCTTCTCGCCTCTTTAAGACTGTTGAGAATGCGAATGTGAGGCGCAGAAGTTGACAACTGTTGAGCCGTTGATACACTGTTACATCTTTAGGGGGCCCAGTTGTCAGAAGTCCCTGCTTTATACTGTCATTGTCGTCCACCGTAAACCCAGTTTGAGACTTCCTGGCTATTGTTATTCTCACCCTCTCCTTGGAGCAGTGACATTTATGGAGCCTCTGGTGCGAGATCTTTGAAGGGGCTAAGGGGATGCTTAGGAGAATGGGGTCCTAGAGTCTGGCACATTAAGTTAGCATATGGGAAAAAAAGCTCCTTGTGAGGGGAAGCCGTGAGAACAACTCTTCAGGTACAGACTTGGAGGAGCTGTTGTGACCTGAATGTCCTCCAGAGGAATCACGTTCCTGCGGGCTCAACACTACCCAGCTCACCCGCTGGGAGGGAGCATTTTCCCTCTCTTGCTAAGCGGTTTGTGGTTCTGTTTATAAGCATATATCCCTGGCGGGGTCCTTTGCCCCCAAGACACAAGAGCCTGGCATCGGGTGCCCTCTGGACTCCGAGCTCCTTGGCTTAGCACTTCTAAGTGAGCGGTACCCAGACACCCACCTTTCTGCCGTTCAGCGCCCTGTCAACCGTCATTGCCAAAGGTGTAACTCTGTCTCCCTCTTCCCCATCTCTATCCTCCGGACACCTGCTGAGGTCTCCGCTTGCCTACCCTGGTATTTTCCCCCTCAAACTAACAAGTGTCTTTGAACTCCCTTCCAAGTCTATTTTAAAATTCTTTTATTGGAGAGACACGAATAATCCAAAGGCAGCTTCAGTTTTCCTGGTAACAGCGATTGCTCCCAGCTTGGTAAGGAGAGCTGATAATGCTGTCTCCTGCCACATCCCTGCGTCATGGGTAGGGTGGAAATCCCAGCCTGCATCTTGCGATTAGGCTTTTCATGCACTTTGGGGATTTTCGAAGCCTCGTAAGTCTGTTGTGGTGGCTTCTCAGGGTTTACCGGGTATTTAGCCCAATACCTAGCTTCTACCCTCTTGATGCCAAAAACGCCTCCAGATTTGTCTGTCACTGTCCTTTACTCCCCACCGGGCTAGGACCCTGTAGCTGAACATGATACGTTCATGTTTGAAAGCAGAGCCCTGAATTACAGAGGACATTGTTTTTCATTTTCTTTTTGTAGATTTTTTAAAAATATGTGACTAGTTACTGCTGTGTATTCTGTGACTCTCAAAAATAGATTTTTGTCTGGATGACCTTAATCAAACCATCATGGGCGCTTTCTCTTGGAAATTAGTGTTTGTGTCTTTAGGGGCACGCAAGGTTGGGGCAGGAACTTTTTCTCATTCAGCAGCGCATTAGAAACCCCAGAAATCCTCAAAGCCCAACCAGCAAAGATTCTCAAGTTCACCCCAGACTTCTTAATCAGACCTTTGGACATGGGAGGGGCCTGGGGACCAGGATGATTTAAATGTGCAACCTATGTGGCATTTGTTTTTAATTCCCTAAAAATCTTTTTACAACTATTAAGGAAAGGGAATTTAAAAATTCTCCAGTTTGAGAGAACAAAAATAAGACATTCCTGCGTAATTCCTCCCAATGTGATATTCTAGGTTTTTCACACTTTATTTTTAGTGACCTTGAACCTCATCATCTGATGGATTTCAAGTCACATTTTTGTTTTTAAATAAAATGGTCCTCATGGCCACTACCCTCCTTCCCAGTTCTGAAGAGTCCAGTGGTTCTGCAAGCCTCCTTTGCCACGGGAAGAGGGCTATGGATGCTGTAGCCGTCCACAGGAGGAAAGTAAGGAGAGAAATCAAGGTGGAACAGGGTCAGAAGAGTCCAGTTTGACTTCATTCTGTTGCAAGTTAGAGCCTTTGTGAGCATTGTTCCCTTGGCATCTCCACCTATCCCCCCCCTTAAGGGTCTATAGAAATTCTGTATGGAGTATCTGGCAACGCTACATGGATATATGCCAGCATCATGGCCATTTTCAACTCAGTGGGAGATGAAGAGAAATATTCTGGCTTATGTGGCCGAAGGGTTTCCTGGCTAGACGTGTCTGTAACCCCAGGACTTGGAGGGAGGGGGGTGTTGCAAGCTGGATGGCAGCCTGAAGAGCATCACACTCCAAAAAAAACCTGCAACCCCCAAACAGTGAAGCGAACACAAATAAAAGAGACCTCTCTTTGTTAGAAACAGGGTCTTTGGAAAGGTCAAGCACCCCTTGAAAAATCCTGCCTCGGTGATACCTGTCTTGGGTCTGCCCAGGGCCAGAACAGTCGTACGAAGCATGGTTATGTTGGTGGGGTGCGTTTGTACATGATCAAGTGTGAGGTCTGATCAGTGTGACGCTAACTTGTGATCGACATGTTCTCTCCGTAACAATACTGTGTCCCCTTGCTTGCATCCTAGTTCAAACGTCCAGTTCATGTGTCTATTTTATTATTAATGTTATTATCGGACACCGCGTCTTCTTTTCAGCGTCAAATGGAGAAGGCAGAAAGGCCACCTGTGTTTCCTAGCATGTTATGCCTTCTGCTGTTTTTGTATGCCTAAGAGTCTTTGGCAATGTGGGTGACTTACCTCAGTACTTGGTAGCGTGTTTCGTTTGCTCTTGAGCTTGCAGAGAAAATCGTCTCTTTGAAACTTCTTTCTGCTTCCTCTCCCCACAGAGCCACCAACCCCTCCTTCAAGGAAGTATTGTCACGGATCGAGTCGCATGAAGACTGCAGGAATTTACCCATGATCTCTTTCCTCATCCTCCCCATGCAGAGAGTGACGCGCCTCCCCCTGCTGATGGATGTAAGGGTTAGGGCTTGATGACTTTGTCCTCTGGGTATCGGCAGCCTGCTGCTGCAAGTCTGGTTGACTAATTCGCCGTCGTTCTGCTTATATTGATGCCTATGTCTTTCATCAGCCCCTCAACTGGGAGGCTGCTTGCTATTCAGTTAGAAAGTCTGTCTGTTTTTGAAATCACTGGGGCTTATTGTTAATTTAGACTTGCGTGGTCACTCTGGTGAAACCTGCTTACATTACCCACTTTATTTATTTATGTATTTATTCATATATGTATGTATTTATTTGCAATGGGAGTGATATTGGCTTTTTGAGGTTAAGAGGCTTGGATCCCGTTTCTGCCCGATCCACTGAGCATGCGACCTTTGTTTTAGATCCCCTTGTGTCTTGAACATTCCAAGATGCTTTGGGCCCAGTTTCTCCTGACATGACCAGGTATAACCTAGTCTCTACCATGCCTTATGTAAAGTGGTGTGAAAGGCCCAGCATCCTATGTGGTGTTAGATAACAGTCGTAGAGGAAGCAAGAGTTTGACTTGGGCCAGGCGTTGGTGGCGCACACTTTTAATCCCAGCACTTGGGAGGCAGAGGCAGGCAGATCTCTGTGAGTTCGAGGCCATCCTGGACTACAAAGCGAGTTCCAGGACAGCCTCCAAAACAATGCAGAGAAACCCTGCCTCGAAAAACCAAAAAAAAAAAAAAAAAAAAAAAAAAAGAGTTTGACTTTGAATAATGGCGAGGCACCCGAGGGAGGGAAGGAGACCATCTGGCCTGCGATGGGACCCGCTGCTTCACCAGTGGGCAGGCAGTGCCTTTGATCTAATTAGGACGACGTTTGTCACAGATGCACTCTAAAACTGGGTCACCCCACTGGCGTGGCACCCGCTTTTGACGGCATTTGATTTTGCAGACCAAAGCACGGGATGTAAAACCTCTCAGAGGTATGTAATGGAGTGAAACTGCAAAAATGGATCCCGTCTTCCACGCATCGCGCTGTAAAATGCTGAGATACCGTGTGAAGTGTGGCGAAGCGCGTGCGGTTGTCCCTTCCTTGCTGCGTCACGGCTGAGTGACAGACAGCCGTAACTTACCGGTTATTTCAGGGTTCTAATCCGTAAGCCCTTCCTCGGAGTCCTCTCAGTCGCCTAAGTTTGCCCACCCCTTGTCATCCGCCACCCCGTGGTTTAGGACGTCATTTCCTGCATGAACACAGTCACAGCCGGCTGGTGTTCTGAGAGGTGCATGGCCAGCAATGCCAGGGCCACGCAGTATCCATGAGTGTAGTTAGTAGTATCTACTAATGCACCCTGCTCAGCGTCCCTAGGAGAAATAGTCTTGTCTTACATGTGGTTCGTTATTGCCCCATAGAGTAACTTGGAGTTTCAGACAATCCGGCTGATTTTTTTTTCTAGGTCAGTATTTATCCTATCTAAAGATAGAATGCGGACATAATTAATTAACCATTTGGAGGCCAGGATGGTGTTCCTGTTTCCGGATACACCAAACTGCGCGATGGTTGGATGAGTTTATGGCATGGGTTACACGGTGGTCTCTGTGCTTTTGTGAGATTCTGAGTGATGCTGTAGTCTTTCTTCTCAGATAGTTGATGTATGCACGCAGTTTTTTTAAATATACATCTTTTTATCATAAAGATTCAAGTGAAGGATGTCTGCCCTCATGGAAATAGCTCAATGTTTTTCATATTGCTTTTTTTTAAAGATTTATTTATTACATATACAGTGTTCTACCTACATGCCAGAAGAGGGCACCAGATTGAATTGTAGATGGTTGTGAGCCACCATGTGGTTGCTGGGAATTGAACTCAGGACCTCTGGAAGTGCAGCCAGTGCTGTTAACCTCTGAGCTGTCTCTCCAGCCCGATATTGCTTTTTATATCCATTAAGGGGGCAGAACTGACTTTGGAATCATGAACGGAGTGCAGCAGAACAGAATATGAAGTATCTGATACATGCATGGCTTATAACGTGGCTAAGTACTGTTTCTAAAAACCTTGCCCCTGTAGTATAAATGTGTTCTTTATAGCTCAAAAATGTGAAAGGAAGAATCCTTAACGTAAGCCCACATGTGATGCACTCTACACTCCTCTCATGTAGCAGTCCAACGGCCAGACTTCTGCATTTACAGACCGCACGCATTGGTAGCTAAGGCACTGGGCCTGCCAGCCATTGACCATATTCTGTCCTGCTCAATGACTTGCCCTCATCTGTTTCCTATGTGTGAGAACCTAGGCAGAGTCAAGCGTTGCCTCTTAAATTTCACCTCGTTAGGAAACTTGCTTAAATTTGTTGAAGCAGATGGATATTTTTAAACAATTAAATTCATTCCTCGAGCTTTCAAAGTTACATGTACAAGCTGAGTGTTCCTTACTAAGAATGCTTGCAGCGAGATGTGTTTTACATTTTCAGTAATTTCGGGATATTTTCATTTGTATGATGAGGTGACGTGGGAATGGGGCCCAAGACTAAACATGAAACTCGTCTGCGTTTCAAGCATCCCTTGTATACGTACTCTAAAGACAGCTACGTGTATCTACTAATACTGTGCATGAAACAGTGTCTTGGTGCGGAGTTTTCCTTTTGCAGTGTTCTGACTGTCAAAAAGGTTTGCGTTTTTAAAGACTTATGGTTTCAGATTTTCATATGTCGGACAACCATGTTCAAGCTTGTCTTTAGCTGGTCATCAGAGGTAGGACTCTTGTTGGGAGGTGACTGTATGCCAGGCACTTAGATAAAACGTTTAGATTGCTTAACCATTTAACTCTTGGGACAGGGCAGGGGGAGGCAGCTCTGGAGAGCACTTGTTCAGCATGGGTGAGGCCAAGTTGCAGAACCCTGTGTTGCATCTGACATGACTGCAGTTTTACAGAGAAGGAAAATGACGTCTGTCTGCGGCCAGTCACAGGCCCACAGTTAAACAGCTAGTTTAGGGCAGGTCTGAGATTTGCCAGCCAACCCACTGATCTCTGACATCTTCCCTCTTATTTAGGTGAATTAATTTGGGTCTTGTGTATTTAAAGAGTACTTTCTGGCCCTGTTAGCTGTGTTTTAGGGTCTTCATCTCTAACAGTGTGTCCAAGAACAGTGCTCTTACGAGTAAGAGACAATGCCTGGGTAGTCATTTATTTTGCTCCATGCTCTTTCTGCTTCTCCTTAGACGATATGTCAAAAAACACCCAAGGACTCTCCGAAGTACGAAGTCTGCAAAAGGGCCCTGAAGGAAGTGAGCAAGGTAACTGTTTACCACGGTAGCAGTAGACCATGTAGAAAGTTTGGGAGAGTCTAGCACGACTGAGGTTCGTTCACATAGCCGTGCTCAAAGAAGCGGGGATGTTGACCGTTTCAGACAGGTGTTGTGTTGTGTGCCCATCCGTGTCCAGCCTTGTCTAGCGTGTGAGTGGATGTTTGTCGATTCCCACCTCCAGCAAATGTTTGTCAAGACTGTAAACCAGTGTACCAGGAGCAACGATGGCCTCTGAATGTTTGGTGACAAGGCAGATGTGGTGGGTATGTGCAGATGAGGAGAAAGGCGGGCTTTAAGTAGAATTGCACAAAGGGTGGCGAGTGATGTGGGGGTTAAGTGTGATGTTTTAGCTGAGGTCTGCTGCAGGAGTAACTGGTGTGCAGGGACCCAACCCAAGTGTTGGAGAGTTGGAAGAACTCATCGAAAGAGGGGAAGAGAGGGAGAGAAAAAGGGAATGAGGGAGAGAGAAAGGGAGGGAGGGAGGGCACAGGTGGAGCCTGTTGCACATGCCAGGGAGTTGGGGGCTATAGTCTCAGATGATGATAAAGCTGTGAATTCATGTAAGAAGATGGAAAGAAGCATGCGTGAGTGCGTGCGTGTGTGTGTGTGTGCATGCGCATGTGTATGTGTGTGCGTGTGTGTGTGTGTGTGCGCGTGCGTGGTTATGTGTGTATAAATGTATATGTATAATCGTGTGTATATGTGTGTGTAAATGTATATGTATAATCGTGTGTATATGTATGTGCGTGTAAATGTATATGTGCAGTAGGCTTGGAATTGGTGAGCACTTTGAAGGCCAGATGTCAAGGAGCTATAATCCCGTGTTAGACAACTGGATCATTTTCTCTTTTTATTACTATGGAAAGATGAATTCCATTTTTGACATGTAATGCAGATCCTATAAAACGTGTGTTCTGGATGAGAGCTCAGAGGAAGGGAACGAATTGGAGACCCGGGTTCGGGTGGTATTTGCGGTTGGAGTGCGAAGGGTTTCACCTGGCGTGAGGGCGCAGGATAGTAAGTACAGCAGCCCGTGGTAGAAGCCAGGGACCACCAATATTCCGTCCTATTTAGAAGGAAGTAACCAGCACTGGAGACATAAAAACAAATAAGACATGCCAGAGTAAAGGAAAACAGAACAGCTAGAAAATGACCAAACAGCTCATGGGCGCTCCTGGGAGAGAAAGAAAGGCAAGTCTGACTTAGCTGTTCACAGGGTTCATCCTCAGGTAGACGACACAGGAACCGCACTGAAGTATGTTGAGCAATGGGTAGGGTGTGCAACGGTGCTACTGTTGTGCCCAAATTCTGAACCCCAAAATCACCAAGAGGCCCATTTTGATGCAAAAGCAAAGAATCTTTTATTGTAGATGTTTAACAAGCTAAACCCATTAGCTCGGGCCCCTCACCCCCACCACCATGGCAGATGGCTGGAGAAAGACCCCAAGCAACCTCGAGGCAGGGATCTTAAAGGGCAGGATAAGGGGAGTGTCTAGGGATATGAAACAGTCTCGGGATTGGTGCGCTTCCAGGTTTGGGTGACCTGCCCTTTGTTGATTGGTCAATTGGTTGTTATGGCCCATAGGCCCTCCCAGGGTGGTTGCTATGTTCTGTACATCACTGTTGTACACTGTCTGTAAAGCACACCCAGAGCCGTAAAGCACAGCACAGCCAGCTAACTTCTGATTGGTTCCTTGCCACGAGGAGGGCATCTGACCTTAGTGACCAGGACAGGAGCGGCAAGGTCATGCAAGCACATGTTAGCCTGTCATGGCTGCTGAAACGGGGGACTGGTCACTACACTACCAGCTGCCCCTGCTGGCTGCCTGCTCCAGGAATCAGGCCAGGAGTAGCTAGAGAAAGAGTTGTGAAGGCTGAAAGGGAACTGATACTTGAAGATAGAAAACTCTGTGTTTAGCTGCTGTGGGACACATGGTCTCTGAGAAAGCAAAAGAAAGTGTGGTCGCCGCTGTGGGTGGCATACGGGCGGGGCACCGCTGAGCGGAGATTGGGTGTGCCAGACACTTCCTGCTTATCTCCTGCTTGCTTGCTTGCTGCCTGCACGAGTGGGAAAGACCTTCACTCCTCTTTGTTGTAGTCGGGTGTTTCTTCTCTGTTTTGTCTGGTTCCGCCGGACCAGTTTCTCTCCCACTCTGGGTCCCCTCGGACGACACTCCGAGGCCTCATATTAAATGTAATCGTTTGGCCAATGGCTCGGGGTTTTTTTTTTACCGGCTGGTGCTCTCTTATAAATCAGCCCATTTCTTTTTTTTTTTTTTTTTTTTTGGTTTTTCGAGACAGGGTTTCTCTGTATTGTTTTGGAGGCTGTCCTGGAACTCGCTTGGTAGTCCAGGCTGGTCTCGAACTCACAGAGATCCGCCTGCCTCTGCCTCCCGAGTGCTGGGGTTAAAGGCGTGCGCCACCAGCGCCTAGCACATCAGCCCATTTCTATTAACCTTTGCACTACAACAAGGCTGTGGCTTGCCAGCGATGCTCCAGCATGTTACTCCTTCGGCAGCTACGCGGTGTCCCCAACTCCGCCTTTGTTTGTTTGTTTGTTTGTTTGTTTTTGGTTTTTCGAGACAGGGTTTCTCTGTGGCTTTGGAGGCTGTCCTGGAACTCGCTCTGTAGACCAGGCTGGCCCCCGAACTCACAGAGATCCGCCTGCCTCTGCCTCCCGAGTGCTGGGATTAAAGGTCCGCCTTTGTTTGGATTGCTCACCTAGCTATATTTTTTTCCTGGCCATCGGCTTGAAACAGCTTTATTCATCAACCAATAGAAGCAACGCATATTCTCAGCACGTACAAGGGCGTTCCATGTCACTTTTGTATAATGTACAGTTTCTTTTCATCGTCTCTAAAGAAAGACACTATTTAAAATTATCTCTGAAAGACGGTTTGCGAAGTGTAGGGTTCGCTATACTAAGTGTCCACCAGAGGCCCAGGAATCCCACTTCTTTGCAGATATCCAGTACTTCTGCTTGAACAGGGCTTCTCTTACCTGGGTGTTCTTGAAGAACTACCAGGATCTCCCTATCCCAGCATCCCTTGGCGATCCCACGCTCTATATGGAACACTGTGCTTAGGTTTCTGTCTCTGAAGTTGGTAGTCTGCTTCCTGCTGCTCTGGTCTGGAAGAGAGGAGACTGTAGCTTGCCCTGAGGAAGAGTGGGGCTCTCATAGGTAAAGATGAAGCTAGGCAGAGGGCAGGAGCCGAATGGATGGAGACCTGGAGTGGGTGATTTAAACTCGTGTGGAGGTTGTGGAACCCAGAGGGAAACAACCGTGAAAATCTGTACCCAAGCCCCAACCCCCAAGCCCCACTGTCCATTCCTTTCCTGTATCTGAGCAGTATGTCCCAACTAGCTGGCACTGTGGGTTCCCTAATGACCAGAGATGGGTCCTGGAACTTCTAGAGATAGATGGTTTTCAGGGAGAGGTCGGAAATTGGAAACGGGGTTTCCTGGGGGGGGAGAACGGGCCATACGAGGTAAAGTGAAGGGGGGGCAGTTCCTCTTCCTGTTTCTTAACCCTCCAGTGCTGTGTTCGCAGTTGGTTCGCCTGTGCAATGAAGGAGCGCGGAAGATGGAGAGGACGGAGATGATGTACACGATTAACTCCCAGCTGGAATTTAAAATTAAGGTTAGCCCCCTGGCTATGTTTATCGTGCGACTGTGGCTCAAGTCTCATCTAAGCAGACAATGATAAGGCTAACAAAGTAAATTGCAATTCACTTCTCAAAGAACGCCCACGAATTGAAAAGAGCAGGTGACAGAGGACTTCCCAGATGCCTCGTGGGGTGGGGGTGGGGTGCCGCTCTGCAGGCTTCTCTCCAGGCCATGATGGTGTGACCTTCCCCAGGAAACCATCAAACGGTTAAAACAGTTGAAGCCGAGAGTTGATAAAGGGGAATCCTCCAGCACTGTCAGGAGGTGCTGCCAAATAACGGACCCCGGTGTTCCAAACCAAGTGAGACTACTGCTTTGTTTTTGCAGAAGAGATAGTCAGTGGGCCACTTCTTCCCCCCACCCCCAAGCATGTTTTCCCGTGTAACTCTTTTTTTGGACCCGTGCCACCTGCTACCACTTGTCCGACACTCCCCCCGTGAGCGGGAGTCGGGATGCACGGACAAGCGGAAAAGTGCGCTTGGTGAAGACAGCGCCTGCGCTATGGTGAGGGCATGCGTAGGAGTCATAAAGAGAGAAAACAGTGCTGAGTTCGTCGGTGGAAATTTGTAAACCTTTTGCTTGCTATGCAGGAACGACCAAGACAAAAAACAAAACCAAACAGTAGAGGCGACTCACAGAAGGGGGAGAAGCAGCTGCAGCCCTGCTCATCCAGGGTTCATACCGCACCTGGGCTGTAAAATCAGAGTGGCAAGGAGAGGAGAGGGGACGGGCGAGCGCTGGGGAGGGGACGCGCCCTGGGGAGGGGACGCGAGCTGGGGATGGCAGGTTAGGAAGCCGCTGACCCAGAGACGAGTGGCAAGCCGCCCGGTTTTGAAAAATGACTTTATCCCACTCATAAAGAAACTGCCAGTGGGCGCCAGGGTAGCAAGCAGTCCAGGAATGTGAGAAGATTTCTGTCTGCGAGGCTGTAGGAACGTCATGTGGCAGGCTGCTGCTAACAGGGACTGTCACAGCCCTGGAACTCAGCTGTCCTATTTACAAAGCAAATTATTGTAAAAAACCAGCGATTCTGCTTCCAGGAGCTTATTCTGTGCAGGGGAATGTAAAGATCACACAGCTATGCTTATCACGTATCCACGAGGTGCTTGTTTTCAGCAGTGGATCGGAAACAACCCAGGTATTTATCGTAGAGCACTGACTACATCAATATGAAGCGGAGTAGGACCACTGAACTTTCGGGGGAAACAAAGGATGATTGGGGGTTTAGGTACCTATGAATGTAGTCGAGTGTATCAGTAAGTTTAAAAAAGAAGTTGTTTTAAAAAAAAGTGTTTATGCCAAAGAAATTTCTGGAGAGCACAGAAGGATTTTTTTTTTTTTCATCTGCCGTTATCCGTAGAGGCAGGAGGCAGGGCAACACTTGCAGCAATCGGGACCTAACCTGACACATGTGTGTTCTTGTAGCAATTCCTAAGCATACTAGTCAGGATTATCATAAGCAATTCTTTCTCCGTTGACCATACAGGGCTCTGCTGTACCTATTACATAACCGTGTGATTCAGATTTAAGGCGCTGGAAACCCCAGGACCTCCTTTAAAGGGCAGTTTGCGAAGCTTGGGTTTAGCCGTGAGCTTTCATCTCCCTTGTTGAATTTGTATATAGCGGATGAACAGCCTTCTTATAAAAACCCTTTATAAAGTTGGAAAACTATGAAACCCTTTCTCTGCTTCTTCATACCCTCTAATATCCTCAATTTCCTTTAGCCATTTTTAATCATTCTTCACTTAACAGGATGGCGTCTTCTGGACCGTGTTCCTGTGCCTGTGTTCTGTGTACATCCAGGAACTTTTGCTTATTTTGTGGATATATGTTTTTAAATCAGTTTTTTTTTTTTTGGCAGTATGCATCCTAGTAACTTAATTTAAAAAAATAAAAAAAGGAAAGGCCTCTAAAGGGTGCAGATGATTCTGTGGTTTTGAGAGGTTTCCAGATGGCTTATGTAAGACTCAGTAGAGTAAAAACAGAATGTAATCCCTTGGATGCCGCCTTTCTTGTGAGATTGAGGGGCTCCTTAGGAGAACTGCACTGTCAATGCCAGCAAGTGGAATGAGGTTTTCAGGGATGTGTTTACACAGCGGAAACTCCATAAACTTAAAAACAGGTGCTCTCAAGAGTACAGCTGAGTAGATTTCTGTAGACAGAAGGTAAGTTTTGTGGGTTTTTTTCCTTCTTGAAAAAAAGAGTCCTTTTGTACTACATAAAGCGAACATAGACTTTTAGATGTCTCTTGGTAACTACAGGTATCTACAGGTTTCCATACGTATACATTCTACTTTAAGACAGTGACAGAAACTGATGTTTTGGGGTTTTTTTTTTTGCTACTAAGTGTTTTTTTTTTTGGATGCCAAGTTTCCATTTGTAGTTCAGAGTTAATAGGAGAGTCATGCTTTTGTGACCTAATCCAATAACATTTTATTTTCTTGTGGTTTCACTTTTGTACCGACAAGCTATAAGCGTTCACGTTTTGAAAACAAAATGTGTATTTTTCTCCCGGAGAACGTGCAGCTACTTCCCTGTGAAATAATGGTGCGTCTCATCGGATGCTCCTTATGTCTTTTTGGCCTTCACTGGGATGCGGGCACTGAGACTTTCTCTCTTTATAGCCCTTCCCCCTCGTTTCCTCTTCCCGGTGGTTAGTGAAAAGAGGGGAGCTGGCGGCCTACGTGGAAGACACAGTGCTGTTCTCAAAGAGGATGTCCAAGCAGCAAGTCTACTTCTTCCTCTTCAACGACGTGCTCATTATCACCAAGAAGAAGAGGTAAGAGCCAGACGAGCGCTGCCCGTGAAGGCGCCACCCTCCTAAAACCCGAGTGGAAGATGCGTAATTCCTGAATGTGGGGTCGAAGTCTCGTGTGTCCTTCTCTGTCTCTAAGTACAAGTGTATACTTCTTTTGTTATAGGACATTTGGATAAATCAAAATAAGTAGTCAAGGACTTGCTAGGGGCAACCTTGGTACGCCTCGTGACTTAGTGACTTAGTTTAAACGATGACCTCAGTGACTGTTCACCTAAGCGGTGTGCCCATGAATGGCAGGGTGTTGAGCGTGCTTCCTTCCTGGGGGGGAATGGAGTGCCTCAGTGGACTGGCAAGTGACCTTCTCCTTCTGCTTTTCTGTTCTGCCTCTACCATGCACCTTTCGAGATTTTGGTGTCTCAAACAGTTCCCATTCTCAGGCTCTCTCTCTCTCTCTCCCTCTCTCTCTCTCTCCCTCTTCCTCTCCCCCCTTCCCCCTCTCTTTCTCTCCCCCTCTTCCTCTCTCTCTCTCCCTCCCTCCCTCTCTCTCTCTTTCCCTCTTCCCCTCTTCCTCTCCTCCCCCCCCTTTCTCCAGGGAACGTTCTCTGTGACATGTACCACGTGATGACATTATTCATGTGCGGCACATGTTTCCTCCTGGCATAAGATAAATTTTGCATCTTTGTTAGACTATAGACTGGAAATAAGAATGGAAAACCGTGGGTTGTTTCCCATGTACGAAGGAAATGAGGCAGAGCTGATGGAGTATGACAGAATGGTTAGCGCAGGAAATAGAGTTTCAACAGTAGAAATGACTTTCCGTGGAAACGCTAATAAATGCCCAGATTAACCGTGGGAGATTTCTCCTAATGCTAGCTCTGAGTTGCTGACGTTGTAGACTGATACGTCAAAATGAAACGAAACAACCAGACTGAATTATGAGTTTTTCTCTTCAGCTGTATACTCTCTCAGGACTTGTATCGCTGCAAAGAGACACCATGGCCATAGCAACTCTTAGAAAGGGAAAGAGACACCATGGCCATAGCAACTCTTAGAAAGGGAAAGAGACACCATGGCCATAGCAACTCTTAGAAAGGGAAAGAGACACCATGGCCATAGCAACTCTTAGAAAGGGAGACAGTGAATTGGGGTGGCTTACAGTTCGGAGGTTCCAGTCCACGGTCGTCATGGCAGGGAGCATGGCAGGCAGACGTGGTACCAGAGAAGGAGCCCAGAGTCCTGCATCTTGCCGGCAGCAGGAAGTGGTCTGTGTCTCACTGCATGGTATCTTGAGCATATAGGAGACCTCAAAGCCAGCCTCCACAGTGAGGCACTTCCTCCAGCAAGGCAGTACCTGCTCCCATAAGGCCACACCTCCTGATAGTGCCACTACGTATGAGCTTATGGGGGCCAAACTAGCACATGCACCTAGGACAATAGAACAGTAACGACCTCCAAAAGCAGCTCTAGGAGGAAAGGGATTATTTTAATCCCACATTTCCACAGAGAGAAGTCAGGGTAGGATCACTGAGGCAGGAGTTGATGCCGAGGTCATGGAGGGGTGCTACGTAATACTGGCTAGCCCAAGGCTCACTTATACCATACAGTACTGTCTGCACGGGAATGGTACTGCCCTCTATATGATGGCCCCACCAACGTCAAACATTAGCCAAGAAAATGCCCCACAGGCTTGCCTACAGGCCACTTGGATAGAGGCATTTTCCTAGTCGAGGGTCCCTCTTCCCAAGAATCTAACAAACAGCGTGTTTTCTTTTGTAGAGTTTTTTCTTTCTCAGAGTTGTTGGAGTTTTAGACAGTTTCTCTGGTTAGCTTGGGGTAGCCTGAAGCTCACTCTGTAGCCAGGCTGGCCTCTGCCAATCATTTCTGCCTTGGGTTCTCGAATGCTGGGATTACACTGTGTGTCGCCGTACTTGGCTTTCAACGTGAAGTAAGTTTTAGGGAGCACGACTGTGTGCTTCCCTTCGAGTATCAGAACTCCTGATTCCCTAACGTCTTCCAGCTGTCTCAGTGAAACCAAGGTTTTAGCTCGCCTTTTGAGTTGAATGACAAAGGTTGAGCGTGTCATGCCAATTTTAAATATCAGAGTTGTTTTGACCGTCGACTGATAAACTGGTTAAAGTTACCATCTTTACAGGTAGTTCTAAAACCAGGATGGTGCGGCTTTTATCCTTGAACTTGCGCAGGACTAGTCAGTTGATAGAGAGTGAAGACAGACGGTTTCTTACGCAGCCTCCGATTCTGCTCCTCACAGGTGGCTTTGCCGTTGTATGTCGTGATGACCCAGTTACGCCAAATTCATGTGCTCGAGTAATAGTTTGTTTTTTTGGAATTGTAATCTGGGTGACAGAAAGAGCATGGCACACATCCCCAGTGGAGAGGCCAGCGTGGGCGCCTAATTAACTTTTGTCAAAACTTTGGTGCTTTCTTTCCCCGGGTGAAGAGCTTCATCCGATGTCTAAAGTCCTCTCCCCTGAGGAAACACCACTGGAGACTGCTTGTTCTTGATGTGAGTCTGGGAAAGAGGCTTGATAAGCAGGCTGGGATTGAAATGTGCAGTATGTACTGCTGTGTTTACACAGTAGCTTCAAGGAGGCAAGTGCTCATGCCCTGCATGCCAGAGGCAGCCGAGGAGCAGATACAGCTGCTTTGAGTCGGGCGGTAACTCAGACGTGTCTACAAGGGAGAGATAAGGGATCACTGTCCGTGCCAGCTCTCCAGGGCTGACCCAGCCACCCACGGAATGATTAAAATTATAACGTTTAGTTAGGCAAGGAGCTTAGCTTCTGGGACTCCAGTAGTTTTTGTTGTTGTTGTTGTTGTTTTCAACATGGGGAGGCTTTCTTTCCAGCTACTGAGAGCGGCTCCCCGAGCGGACCGTGAATTTTTTTCCTCCTCTGGTTCAGACTGGCAGACAGAACGTATTACACACATTTCCTAGCTGGTGTCTGCGGAGCAGGAGTTGGAGGTTAGCCCCACAGGGTTGTCTCCAAAGACAGTGGTTTTTCTCCTTTTCTTTTTCTTCCATTTTTCACTTTTTTGTTTTTAGATTAGATGAAAACCGAAAATTTTATCAGGTCTGGGTTGCTTGTTAGTCATTTTATTGATAGTTTCTCCTACCAAATTTCAAAGGGATGCATTTAATGTGACTGCTTTGGATGAGAAAGCGAACTCTTTGGTGTTTAAAGCTGTGGCCTACTGGAGGCCACCTGGATCCACTAGATCCTGACCTCAGCAGTGTTGACCTGGGGCCTACGCTTCTTTGCTGTGGGGTGGTCTTGTGGCGTAGCTGTTAAGCAGTATCCCCGGTCTCTCTCCACCATTTGCTGATAGTACCCCCCTCCCTCCCCCCATGATAACAAAACTATCTCCAGGAGTGGCCTAATGTCTCTGCAGGTGGAAGCCACTTCAGGGCAACCCCCAGACCATAGACCTGCTTTGCCTCCTGAGGACCCCTGGTACACGCCACCGCTTGGCACAACAGTGAGAGTAATAATAGTAACGCTGTGTATAAACACGACAGGCTACCAGATAGTAGAGATTAATATGTACGAGTGAGCATGCAGTAGCTGATATCGTGCCAGTAGTAAGCGGCCTCTTCCCTCTACCCCCATGTGCGGCCCTGTGGGGTTAAAAGTACGGCTGGTCCTGTTTTTGAAATGTAGAAACTGAATCTAAGACCTTCGTTGGTTAAAACCCCCAAAGGTTTGTGAGGCAGTTTGCTCTCCTGTTTTCACTCGGTGCCTGGCGCACGCCTGGTCTCTTTTGTCCCGATTCTGTCTGAAGATGAGAGCAGATGCTCTGCCCCTGGGTTGGTCTCCTTACAGCTGCTGTGTGACAATGCTGTGAAGTGGCCGGCTCAGGGGTCCAGAAGGGACGGCCTTGCTCCTTTCAGCTCTCAATGGCTCCGAGCGTCCTTTGCCGCCTGCCAGGCGCTTCCCTATGACCTGCCTCTGTGTGGCTCCGACCCCCCCACCATCTCTCCACTCCGTTGTGGAATTGCAGAGCCTACTTCAAGTCCAGTTACGACTTGGTTCATTGGCAAAGGCTTCGTCTGTAAGCTGGGCAGCTTTCAAAGCACCAGGAGCCAGGACTCCACCCCTTTTCTCTGCAGCGCACAATCCAGCCCACTGGGTTCCTGCCTCCTCGACACCATCCCACTGAAACATGGTTGAGAGATCTGCAGAGCTGGCCTCAAAGGTGCTTCGGGCCACGTGTCCCTATTACACCAGATCACTCCATTTGGAAGACAGTTTTCAGAGTGCTGTCGCGGCCGTGTGACCTGGACGCCTCTGTTCAGTGGTTTCACAGATTACTCTTCATAGTCACGTCTTCTGCACCAAACCTGGCCTTCTCCAGAGTCCACTCCCTTCTTAGTACATGGTCCCCTGTCCTCTGAGTGCTGTGGTAACCCTCGAAGATGACCTACCTGCTTGTGTTTGGCCAGGATCCCACAGGAGGTTCGTCCCAGCCTTCCGTGCAGCTGGCCAGATGCCTCCTCCTGCACGTCACCGCCGCCCTCATGCCAACCCTTTCCACTTCTTCCAGCAAGACAAACCCAACCGGCACCAGGAACCCCCCCCTCCTCGCTGGTTACCGTCCACATTCAGAATGTGTTTTAGAAGATGAGTCTACTTAGTTTAACCCTTTTGCAAAACATGCCCTCCGTCTTACCTTGCTTTCAGCACAAATGTCTTGCAGGCATATCCATATGGGTCTCCTCCTCCCCCTCCCCTCCCCCTCCCCCTTCTCCTCCTGCATCTGTGCCTCTTCCCCCAGTGTTAGGTGCCAGCCCCGGGACAGATTTCTCTCTCTACCTGGAATACGTTGCCTCTGCTCAGCCCTCGCCTCACTTAAAACCATCTCTAGGCCACGTTCTCATCTGTTAGGTTTACATTAGTGGCCACACAACCACTAGGGGTTTTATTCGACTCTCTAAGACAGTCTGTTTTCCACCGCCCTGGGATCCAGCAAAACCGGGCACTTTCCTTGCCGTAGCGTTCAAT